TAGTAGTAGTAGTAGTAGTGGTAGTAGTAGTAGTAGTAGTACTGGTAGTAGTAGTACTAGTAGTAGTAGTAGTAGTAGTAGTAGTAGTGGTAGTAGTAGTACTACTACTACTACTACTACTGGTAGTAGTAGCACGCTGCCTCGCTCTGCCTGTCGCCAACCAACCCCCGGCCGCATTTCCGAAACAAGGACTTCAATCCTCACTCCCACTGGCAGACTGCTGCATACGGCGACTTGCGCATGTGACCCTGGCTCGAGGTATGCATCTGAGGAGCTCAAGGATGAGTTCGACATCGTCCAGATGCTTACCTCAGAACATAAGTTGAACGCCGCTGGGTCCTGTGAAGATGTCTGAAATTGCATGAGAGCCATATTGTGTTCGATCATGTTCCCAATCCTGCATAAACTAGCGAGTTTTTGCGGCGTAGTCGCAACTTTGTGCGCTGACTGTCCTGACGAAGCCTTACAAGCACAACTTCTGCACACAGCCTACATCCTGCAATCCTACACTCCAAGCAGGCTGCTATGCACGATTAGTGGGTTGAAGAGAGCAACTATCATATGCTGGCAATGGTTGTGAGATCGGGGCTGGTATTCTTCTGGGAGTACGGTTGGTTTTGAGCGCACGTGCCTCGGAAGCTCTTCGTGGTCTTTCAGGCCCTGAATTTGAGTGGGAGATCAGAGACTCCGAAGATAAGAGGTTCGAGGCCTATGGGATATTCGGATCTCAGGATAGCCGTCAAAGGCAACGGCCTGGCGTTGCGGGAAGCAGGACACAGCTTGCACCGTTCAACCCATGCATGAAGGTTGCATCGCGAAGGGCCCTCAAATCATGTCAAATCTCATCTGGGCCGTACTGTAGCTTAGTTTATGCCGTTATGCTTCGGAGTGGTCCTGACGAGCGGTGCTCTTCAAGAAAGGTGCTTAGCATTGTTCCCTAAGTGTCCCAAGATCATGCTCAGAAGCAACTTCCCCCATCATCCTGTGCAGCAAAGTTTTCCCTAAACTTCCTTCGACGACTGTGGTGATTCTGAGCACAACTTCGGATATGTCCTTAGAATGATGACTTCTTGGCAAAGGGCTTCCCATACGATTATTCCGAGCATGCTTGTTTGAGGCATTGGGAAGACTCCATAAGATCATACATGAACCTTCAACCTGCATATGAAAACCCTCAGATCTCAAACCCGACATCCTGGATGATCCAAAAGTGCTAAGATGTGGGAGTTTCCGAAAATTAGGGGTACCTTATTTTGGGGCCCTTATAATAAGGATCCTACTATTTAGGGTACTATAGTAGGGTCCCCTATTTCCGGAAACCCCCATGTGGGCAGTAGAAGGGTTCCAAAACCTTTATATCATAGAATCCAGCATGCACAGCGAGGAGCCTTGGCCCGGATGCTTGGCCGACCGTTTAGGGAGGATTGGAGTCCTAGGGTTTAGGGTTTAGGGGCTATGATGAGGGTCACCTATATAAGTGTTCGATGGAGTTTAGGGGTTTATGGGTTGGCTGATCTCGTGGTTTCTGAAATTAAGGGTACCTGTTTGCGGTTCCTTCTAGTATCTTGGGATCCTATAGTCTGGTTTCTATGCAAAGGATCTCCCGCGGCAGGACCTCGGACAGCAGCATTGCTATGATGTTGCAGGTTGCTCTGATCATTATCGTGCCCTACGAGGGCGGCCGAAAGTACTAAGAGCTTTGTCTGACGTGAAAGAAGACCTTCCGAAATGGGTCTCCGAGTTCACGGCCTGGGGTGGACTCTCAAGTTGCGGAAGGGTGGGTTCTAAAACTTTTGGGGCCCGTCTGAGGGTCCTTAAACTTAAGGATCGGCATACTTCGGGTTTATATGCAAGAGTCACGTGTCACAGAGTCACTTCAATTCAAGTCCAAGTGTCGCGACGGCATCAGCCGAGGGACAACGTGCACCACGTCATGGAGGCCCCGGCGTAGCCAGCTGCCTGCGTCTGTATGGGACTTTCCGAAAATAGGGGGGTACCATATTTGGGGGTCCTTATAATAAGGATCCTATTATTTAGGGTACTATATATTAGGGTCCCCTATTTTCGGAAACCCCCATATCGAATAGGTGTCTGTGTAGTGAAGAACGGGCGCTCCCTTGTGATCCTCAACAACCATCTGTGTAGGGTGATTAGGTTCAGTAGATATGACGTCTCAAGCCTAAGTAGGCCTGAAGTAGGCTCAATGAAGCACCTAAGCCCTCGATGAACCCAGGCTTCTTGTGCGCTTCATTGCAGCCCAAAGTCTTTCCATAAATGCCTCTGCTGGCGGCAGCGTGTTTACACTTGGATCTTCAGTTCCCATCGCCATACGTTCATTGCCCTCATGCGCATCATCGTCATCATCAGATGACTCCTACATCATATATCTGTGCAACGAGAAGGTCCGGCGCTTGTCCTGACAAGGCCCTCCAGCGGGACGGCAGGGCACTGCAGTACGCCTCGGACAACCTCAAAAAGGCCAGGAGTTCATCGCTTCAAGCTCGAGAGACGTTTCGAAGTTCAGACTGCGTATCATCCGTAACTTCGTGTGACTGTACTACTGTGGGACATCACGATGCAGGAGCCTCTTACCATCTCTCAGCGTTTACTGCGGGCTGGAGCACTTATATCGCAGACCCGAGACGCATCCAAGAGCAAAACTCTCGCTCTCATACCATCCAAGAGTCCATCCCCAAGCTCGGTTTGATGTTTGTGAGATCACTTTGTGAGCTATTGAAGAGCAGCGTGGCTCTGGGAATCTCCGACCCGTCTCAACCGCGGCTGGGACCCACACCACAGGACAGCTTCGTGGTCATGGAAGCACTGAAACATGACCCCGAGGCGGCTGAACTTCACGGGGCGCGGGACAGTGAAGGGGAGGGAGAATCGACAGGTTGTTTCATTGCATGCATGTGCGCGCATCGGGCTTGTCTGCTTGTCTACAGGCTGGTTGCGAGACAGGCATAGGCATGTTACCGCTTTCTCGCTATCGGCCTGAGCAATGCTACTTTTTGCAACCCCAGTGGCTTGGGCCAAGCCCTAAGCCCTCCTGCGACAAAACTTGGTGGAGACTTGTCAATCTTGTCACGAAGCCTTGCCTGCCGCGTGCGGGTGTGATAGTCGAAAACGAAGACTCTAAACTTAACAACTCAAACTCTAAAAGCCCTCCGCGACCCTGAAATCCTCCTAAAACCCTATAGTCCTCATTCCTGAAAAACCCGAACCACTGCACTTCTATGTCAAACTTTTCTTCCGTTCATAGATTTTGCAGTCGCTGGAGTTCGCTGACGAGGAGCTGAAACACAACCTCGAAGTGATCATGCCGGTGGCGGAGTTGCGTTTAGAGTTGTTGCGTTCAGGCTGCACGGTTTAAGCTTTGATTGCTACAACAAAAGAAGTTGCAATCGTGGAAGTCGTCGTCGTCGTGGTAGCCGCAGGTGTAACAGAAGCTGAACCGATTTAACACGATTCCCTTATCCAACACCAGAGCCATTAAGCTGGGCTTGTCTTGCAAAAGTTGATAAGCCAGCACAGACACCTTGTCGTGTCTTAGTGTGGCCCTTGAATCCAAAACCCTCCTCAACCCGCAATCCGAAACACACCGCAACACTAAGCCTACTTGGAGGCCCAGGGGACTTAGTAAGTCGGTTATAAGTAGAGTTATAATTGGGGTAACTCCATTTAGTGGACTTATAACTCTACTTATAACCTACTTACTAAGTCCCGTGGGCCTCCAAG